GTGATAGTAAAGATTTAAAATGAAATAAACGTTAGTAAAACTTAAGATCCTTACATAGTATGCAGAAGAGAATCACGCCAATTTAAAACTTAAAACAGAAAAAATTCAATCTTAATTGTTCTTTGGTTTCGTAGAAAAGACTAACGAAAGTTATTTGGTACGGTTGAGAAAGTTGAATAAGACTGCCACTTTGTTCTTCAAAGGACATTGCATTTCTTCGAGGGAGCTTTACTACAGATTCTTCTTTTCGTTTCCTCACCGGCAGTGTAAATGAGTTACAGAGTATCTGACTTTTTGGATTATAAGACAAAGCGCATTTACGGAATACTTTTAGCACAGTTGACAAACAGCGGTTATGGAGGTAGGTAGAATAAGTTCGCAGATGCTTGAGAGCGATTGAAATGGCAAGTCATTTAGAAAAGTGGTCTCGCTTGGAGGTGGGAGCCGTGATTCGTTATCGTGGTCGAGTATCTGGAGCTTGGCCATACCGTTACTGCTGATCGTTAGTATGTCACTTTGACAAAGCCGTCCATCCATATGTGAAGTTAGTTATCCGGCGCAAGCTCTGGTCATCCTCCTACATGACAATGCCCGGCCACATACTGCTCGCCCAAAACTCAAAAATTGCTGCAAAACTAGGAATTATGGGGTTATCCTTATATAACCGAAATTTCACAGTGACCATTTTTTTTCCGACATTAAAGGAACAGTGACTATTTTTTTCCAACACTAAAGGAACATTTATCTGGAATGAGGTTCTCTTCAGACTGTGATGTGAAAATAGCTACTGAGAACTGGCTCAGTGGGTACAGACGTGATTTCTACCAAGCCGGGTTAAACAAGTTGGTCCTGCGTACAGATAAATGCTTAGATTTGATGATTATGTGGGAAAAAGATAGAAAAATAGGCCTCTTAATTCCCCCTTGTATTTTCTGTTTATCAAACAATTTTTCATTACTATTGTAAGCTTGTTTTTGGATCTACCCTCGTAATTCTTCGACTTTGACTTATTGCTGGCGGCATTTAAATCAAAATGACGGTTAGTTTCTGACCCAGCTTAGCTTTAAATTTAATTTTATAGTCTCTGACTATTAGTCAACGTTTTAATTTTGACTGATATTTTAGTTACTTTATGAGGTACTTCTCTCGCCTTCTTAGCATACCTTCGTGGTCAGCAAGCTCGATGCGTATTCAAGAGGTCCATGGTTCGAGTCACAGCGAGGTCACTGTTCCTCTTTCATCTCTCTTGCTTCGAAATAACCTGATGTCTCTACAATATAGCCACAAGTGGTGGACGATACTGTAAGCGCAAGAAGTGCGTTTTTGTTCAATGTTTGTGTTTAAACTTAAAGCTTATTTTAAAACTTTTACAAGATTTTAGTTAATTCCCGACACAGCGATAATACGCTTTGCGTCTATTAGGAGTCTGAAACTGGTTTGTGCTATCGAAGAAAGTCAAACTCTGTAAGTTTGACTTCCTGAAGTTTCTCTCTGTAAGTTTGACTAACTGAAGGGGCACTGCGCACATACGGAGCGCAGTGCCCTTTCTATGAACTTTTGGGAAGAGTGTGAAGCTCAACATAATTAGAAGCGAATGCAATGAGAGATGTTGTTGAAGGAATTTAAAGCATGTGAGACGATTTAATAGCGGTTTTAACTTTCAGATGTAGGATCTTCTGGGATCATGCTGTATGGCTTTTCGTATGTTACACATTTCCATCAACAAACATTGAATTGAAAGATAAATGTTATTTTGTTTCTATAGTTAATCTGCTATAACGTTTAACCAGTAAAGAAATAATATATGTACAAAAGTTCGGAACTCCATTAATCGTTTGATTTTCAAAGTAGGAATCTTTATTTAAAGTTTTTTTTTTGGGGGGGGACACAAATACTTACTGGATGTGAAGTTTAAATTAAAACTGTTAATAACTGATTACATTTAACTATTTACACATACATTTTTCAATGTTTTCATACTTCTTACATGTTAAATATATCTGAGACTTGCAGAATCAGTTTAAGTATACTGCTGATACAATAAGCAAGAAGAGCTAACTATATATTACTTAATACTTTACACAGAGAGCTTCAGTATTGGAGAAAATTTTCAATTTTGCTCTTTTGTAAGCTGTAAATTATTATTTTGACTAACCCAATCGCAGTAAAGCACAAATTAATAAATCTAAAAATAACTCAGACAAAATATCTTATTCATGTTTTACAAATTATCGAAAATTTTCCCTTAATAAATAATAGTAATAAAAATAATAATTACAACGATGATAATAATGAAAGAATTAAAAAAAGGTGTCACACAAAAGCGAAAAAAATCTAAATTTAATAAAAAATTGTGGACCTTAAAACAGAGGGTTTTAAATTCCCATAAATGTTGGCATTCTAGCTGATGAATTCCTAACATTATTAACATATTAAAGATGTTGAATTTTTCAGAAAGTCGCTACAAGCTTAATTACTTTCGAAAGTGATTTTAGACGTGTACAGGGTTACAGTAAATGATTCATCGTATTTCATGATGCAGCATTTCTGAAAGTATCGCAAATAAAAAAAAATGGTTGATATATTTTGAAATTTTAGTCACAACACAATAAATATTCGATGTATGCTCTTCTTTTCACATAGCAGATCTCCAAACGATTCTTTCCATACATATCGTAACATTTTCTCTCTACTGGTCACCAAAGCAACTATAAGGCCACGAGCGGCCGAGCGAAAATGTCCCTGAACACTGGTAGTTCGGTCCGAGGTTCGAATCCCGCGAATGGGCTGGCTGCAGGGCGGTTTTCCCCATGTGTAACGTGTTAATACGAGCCACTCTCCCTCAGAAAGTCCTCCACATTGAAAGAAAGCTCAGAGCACTACTTCTTCATACACAATTGTTGGTACGAAATCAATAAAATTATTAGGTTTGAATTGGTATCCAACACAAGACAATTTACTTGTGGCTTGAGACAGTGAGCATTCAACTAAAAGAATGATTTTGTCATCTAAATTTCAAAAAATCTTCGATAACTTGGTTGGTTAGCACATTTCATAGTCACTGCAAAAATCTTGCTTTAAGATGTATGGAAATTACAAGTTTAGTGAAATGATTCCTTACCAAAGGAAATCAATCAAATTTCGAATCGAAGGCATCCCTCCTGTCTGACTAGTGCCTTAGGGCGGAACACGTAACTAATAATAATAATAACTAGCAAACATTCTCCGGTTTTTTTCTTCTGTTTCGTTCGAAATGTCTGGCCATCCGAGTTTCTTGCCTGTACACAAATAAACAGAGCATCTGTAAACGTATGAACTGTCCATACGTTTACAAATGATGTGATGGCTTAATACATCTCTATCGTACTCACATTGAAATCTCTATTATGTTATGGTTAACGATAATGACTTCAAATATCATAAAACATAAAATATGTTTTGCTATAAACTCGCCAAAGATAATGACTTTGAATATTATAAAACACAAAATACGCTCTGATACAACCTCGCCATTTTGAAATTGGAAGTCATATTCACTAGGTGTCTTTCACAAGAATGTTTGCATAAAGATATTTTTCTTTTGTTATTGCCTATCAAGAACGCACTCGAACAAAACTTTGAAATTATGGTGTTTAAAACAGGATCAATAATTTGTAGTATTTTTAACAACAAAGTTTATCTGTGATAAGAAGTTTTTATGAATCTGGAATCTCAGTTACGTGTCTCTCAGGAATGTGAATAAGATGGATTCGGAAAAGTAGAATTTAATATTTTACATGCTCCGGTAGAGTAAAAACTTTTTGTAATTTGTAAAAAATGTAATTGTGCTGTAATGATTAAATTTTTATTTTGCAATCTAGTTTTTGAGAATTAGTCGTGGTGAACTATGCTTGCCATATCCATTGATAAATGATTAAGTTGATAAAATTAGAAAATAACATTAATTAAACGTTCAGTTATGGGATTTTGCAAAATAGCTAATGTCTCTACAGACTTAAAAGCATTTCGTCGCATATAGTACTTCTATAATCTTGGATAGCACGTTTTTATTAAGTTCCTACTATTAGCTCCCACTCTCCCACTATTAGATCTATAGTACCTTTTACTTTCTTCTTCGAAATTACTGGAAGGCATATGAGGGTTGGTTATGGTTACATAGGGGATCATTTACAGTTATAACATTACAGTACTCATTACAGTTATACAGGGACCAGACTAAAATGTCACCAAGTTTAGGGATTTTTGGTAATCTTCGCCAAATTTTGCGATATCTCGTTAATTTAACTACTTAAAAACAAAATAAATATTTAACTAATTAAATTTTTTCTCTAGAGAGAGAAATATAGTATTTCTCCCGTCTTCGTAGCATGCCTTCGTGGTGTAATGGTCAGCATACTCGGCGCAGTTCGAGTCGAGTTATTCTAGAGGTACGAGGTTCGAGTCTTGGTGAAGGCATTGCTCATTTTTCATCTCTCCTGCTTCGAAATAACCTAATGCCCCTACACAGAGATTATGTAAAAGTTGGATTTGCCATTATCAGAAACCTCGTCTCTGTAGCAATAAGAAGGTTTTCACAAAATTGTGTATTCTATTCTAAGAGATTCAGTAATTGCTTATGATCAGTATTTAAAGAAATAAAATCTTTAATTTCTTTTTTCTAGCATATACATACAAGTGAAGGTTAATTAATTAGACAAAAATGCATGAGATGATATGAATTAATTGTATAATTTTCTGAATGTACGCTCAAGTTTTCTCATATTTACTACAATTTTTAATTAGGGGATAATATTAAAATAATACTGCTTGCTCATCCCTATCGAGGAAGGCATAGAATGAGCAGCTGACAATACTTTCATTCTTGCTAAAGTTTGGTGCACGATTGTTTTCAAAATAAAACTTCGTTTCGCCTCACCATGTACTCTGATAATCTGAACAATTACTTCAATTTAATTGCATCATTAAATACAAATATTGTTTGAATGGTAGTGTATACATACCAATATTATAATTTGCAGTTGCACATAATGTTCCTCTTCCAGTGACCACGCCAATGCTTATTTGATCTATGGTTGGGGATCCGCTATCTGTAAAAATGTATCACAATCAGTTAGGCAAGCTAAAAGGAGTCAATTATTCACATTTCAATAACAGCTTATAAAGTAGGTGAACAAAAATGAATTACATTAATGTAAGCAAAACGAAATGCTAGATTTATGAGAAACAGACCACGTTAAAGTTAAAGAATCAGCCAGTGTAATTTCTGCGTTGTTATACAATATAAGGTATTTTTCCCTTCCTTCAGCATGCCTTCGTGGTGTAACCGGTAGCACACTCAGCGCTTATTCGAGAGGTCCAGGTTCGAGTCCCAAAGAGTTCCCATTACTCATTTTTGTGTCTCCTGCTTCAACGACAACAACAAAAACCTGATAACTCTACAGTGGCGCCCGCACTAAAAAAGTGTTCATTTTTCATGTCTTCTGCTTCAAAATAACCTAATGACTACGACATATTGTTACGGATTTTGTATTTAATTTGCTATTTTTAGTAGAATTATAATTAAAATTGTTTTATAACCCCGTGCAATGAAGCACTAGGCTTATTTTGAGAGAAAGCTACGTCCGAAAAGTAAAAATTCAGGAGCAAGCGCATTTAATAAATAGATATCACGTAATTCTTCTCTTCTGCTTTCCAGAAACCTCAAGAAATTACGAGAAGCTTCTCGTGACTGATTAAAAAGTTTATAAAAGCCGAAGAAAAACATCTCAGTTCAGTTGTTCACTAAGATTTTGTTGTTGATTGTAGCGAATTCGCGGTGAGATCGGATTAGCTTTCTCTGTACTTTGAATTGTGTTCGGTTTAACGTTTTAGTAGTTTATAATATAACTATAAAAGGCATTTCTCCCGCCTTCTTAGCATGCCTTCGTAGTGTAGTCATCAGCACGCTGGGCACGTTTTCCAGAGGTCCGTGGTTCGATTCCCGGCAAAGGCGTTACTCATTTGATGATGATTCTCCACACCCAGGATTTAGCGATTGGGTCTCCTAAAACTCCAGTCGCCCTTTAAAAGGGGGAGAGTATAAAGTATTTCTCCGGCGTTCTTCTTAGAATGCCTTCGTGGTGTAGTGGTTCTGCACGCTGGGCCGGTATTCCAAAGGTCCGTGGTTCGATTCCCAGCGAAGGCGGTTGCTAATTTTTCATCTTGTCTGCTTCCAAAAATACCTAATGTCTCTACAGACTTAAAAGCATTTCGTCGCATATAGTACTTCTATAATCTTGGATAGCAAGTTTTTATTAAGTTCCTACTATTAGCTCCCACTCTCCCACTATTAGATCTATAGTACCTTTTACTTTCTTCTTCGAAATTACTGGAAGGCATATGAGGGTTGGTTATGGTTACATAGGGATCATTTACAGTTATAAAATTACAGTACTCATTAGAATTATACAGGGATCAGACTAAAATGTCACCAAGTTTTGGAAAAGGAATTTTTTGGTAATCTTCGCCAAATTTGGCGATATCTCGTTAATTTAACGACATAGCCGTTAACTCAATGTCAGATATATTTGTCCCTGTGTTCTTACTTTTCCGGCAGAGCATCTTATAATTACGCCTGAATCGCATACCAGTCACGAAAAAGATTTTCAATATATTATGTAAATTATTAATTACGTTCAACTATACTTTTCCTCAGAGAAAATGGTGTCCACCGTACCACAAATACATTGGAAATATGCTCTTCCGTATATAAAAAGTTAGGAAGAACTGCTCTAAGGCATAAGCATTGGCACATGAAAATAATAGTAATTATCAGGCAGGGTGAGATTTGTGAAAATAATTTTCCTGTTTTAAAAGAATTACCAATTATTACATAGCAAACTGTGGTAGTTTACTTTAATTGCAATTTTTCATAGAATTGGTAGGTTTACTGGTTTATTTTGGAACATGGAGTTAATTTGAATTAGAACCTGAGAATTATGGTAATGAATCCAAGTTACTACACATTCACGAAATTTCAAGGCAGTTAATTCAATTCATTTGTTTTAAGACAGATAAGAATTTCGCCTTCGGATGTGATAAAGCGGAATTAAATTGCCTAAGCGCATTAAGAAACTTTGTTCTTAATTTGCTATCTAAGATAATTGAAAAAAATGACAGCATTATCATTATTGTTTGAAATATTTTATTTTGCAGCAAGAGTGAAATTTCTAATCAAACGAATTGTAGCAGGGAGGATTTGAATTTATTCTATTCTAATTCTCAGCTTTGCTCGCCATTAAATAGAAGCAGGAAAAAGAGTTTTGAGATTAAACAATGTAATTATGGATCTTTTGATTTTGTGAAATGGGCGGGTATTTCGGAGCTTAAAACGGTTTACAAGAAATATTTGAATACTTTAGTAAAATTCATTCGAATACATTAAAATTCCAAATGTCTGGACTAACTGGAGCTCTAGCAAATCTGGATATTAGAAAAATCGAATAATTGGTTCGCCCCCCTAAAATCGAATACGCATTTATATGAATGAAAGGAGCTGTCAGGGAAAGAACCGCTGAGCAGTAGTAGTTTCAACAGGCTTCTAGTTCCGACGGATAGGCAGATTCCGTTGGTCTTTTGCACTGTTCTCCCTGTGACACTTAAATACAGTAGTCAGTCTTCTTTAAAACTCCTTAATGAAGGTATCCCTCTCTTTAGGCATATAGCTCTCTAATGCTTTGCCATAATTTAAGCAAGCAAACTAGAATTCAAGTGAAGGAATTTAGCCTTTTTTCGTTTATTGTATTAATATTTCTATAAAGGTAATACAGTTAAAAAATAAAGTGTTCTTATTTCTATGTAACAAAATGCAAGACATATTTTCGAAAAACTGATGACGAATTTAGTTTTTATTCCCTAATCACATAATTGATTTCAGTTGCAAATAGAATAAAACAAGGGATCAATTACATCGTTTTATTTGCGCAGACTCTACAACAAAACATGATTCCTGTTTTCACTGTACTGAAACTGAATTTCTTAGAAACCTAATTAATTTTATACATTTTTCAAAGTATTTACTGCTCTGTGTTACTTTTTCGTGTTACCTAACTCAACTAAAAAAATTACAAACACTTGATTGAAAACAAGCAAAATTTTGTTTGGCATTGAAAAAACAAGCAACCGATCCGGATAGTTTTTAATTTCTTTAACTAATTATTTTATGTTAATTTGTTTTCCTTTCCATTTCCATGCCAGAATGTAAATTTCTAACTCGCGTAATAGTCAAATCAGGTAGAGCGGAGATATTATTTAAGGGAATTTTTTAGAGGTAGAATCAGAGCGTGTATTGCCTGCTGAAGGCCACGTTGATAATTTAATTCTTTGAGAGCTGTATTCTGCGAGATTGTGTCATATGGCTCTTTACACCCCTTTCCTTGTCTTTGGGGGTACTTTAAAAGACATAGTGATAATTCACTTTTAAGCCTTAACGACGTTTCGTACATTTTATGTTTCCAAAGAACACGAGATATTATAGGTACACAAGTTTTCTTCGTTAAATAACATCTCTGATATTTCATCCAGGTGAATTATTGTCTTCATTACAAGCTGACTTAGCTGAGTCAATAATAATTCAAGATGAAATTGAAAGCTTATTTTAAACTTTCGGATGGCTATAAATTAAAAGTGCAATTAATTTATTTATCGCTTGTCCCAAGAAAATATTCAAAAACACGGAAAAAGTTTAACACAAACTGTGCCCTGATCAAAATTCAGCCCCAGAAAGCTTTCAATAGCTCTAATTTTCTCTAAATAAACGCGAGGGCTTCTGTCAGCTCAAGAGCGGTAATCAAAATTACCAATGCAAATAAATCTTTATTATATGTAGGTTAAGTGTCTGTTTGTCGCTGATAGTTTATTGGTTGCTTGCGTACTTTGTTATATGCGGCTTAAGTGCCTGTTTGTCAACGATAATTTATTGGTTGCTTGCGTAACTGTACTAGCCAATGGGATGAAGTTGCCACGCCATTCAAATAGTCCATATACACTGATATCATACATGCAGTTATCTTTGTTTTAATTAATTATCATGGTATTTAAGAACGTTTAAATATTTGTAATTCATACAATTGCTGCTTATTACGCATTTAACTACATTTACATATGAATTACCTAGAAACTTGCAAACGTTGAGAAATTAAAGGAGACAAAACCAACATCTCATCACGTAGGTTTACCCAAACTCCTATGCTAAATATCCTTTCGCGTAAAGAGTTTAAAAGTTTGCTCGATTTTATTCCGACATTGTATTTTAAACCGAATTTTCAGCTGAACGCAAATGGAGCGTGTCAGGGAGAACGTGAACATTTCTTTGCATTAGCAATCATCTGTTTTTGAAATCGTTTACAACTGAACGCAATATGAACTGAATTCAGTTTGAATTAGCAGACACCTTTGCACAAATCATTTTAATTACAATTTATAATATCTAGAACAGCGGCCATTTCGTATGACCGCCGGGCTTTCTAGTATTTCATAATCGCGCTTTTACAGTTTACTTAATTTACATTTTGGTGAAGGTTGGCGGAAAAGAAAAGAAGATAGAATAGAATCAACATAAAAATAATTGTTTCATTTAAATGAAACCTTACAATCCGAGTTCTATGACTGGAGTTCTAGTGCACCGGTCAGGTGAAAGGAATTGTTTATTTACGAGGCAATTTTCTCAGTTTGCCTGATCAGCTTTGAACTGACTTTATTGCAGATTGCTATCACGTAATATATCTACCAACTTCCGTTCTTTATTTAAACTTTGCTTACGATCATAGTATCTATAACATAGCATGCATGCCATTTAAATTGACGTCTTCATAATAACCTCAAAGTTTACATAAATCAGTTACAGGAATAAAAGTTACTGCAAACACAAATTCATCATACAAATATATGGAAAAAATCTGATGTGTACACCACACGTCTTTCTTGTACGGAATACTAAATTATACGCATTTTTTCTTGCATTTCGTTTAAACTTATTGGATTGAATTAAATCTACTTCGCGGGCAGCGCATAAAACACAATAGAATAAATGCATTCTTTAAAATTCTAT